TAAGATAACCCAGGCGAGGAGGGTTAGTGCGAAATTTGAACTCAGATGTGAAAGCTTCATTTTGCCAACAAGTTGATGATTGGACACTCTTAAAAATAACTGAGAAAATTATCCAAAGAAATGTTTTCAACAAAAGAAAAAGAAACCTGGGTTAAGTGCTGATCGGCCTTTGAACAACTGCGCCCTGTAGAACATCTATTGCTCCAGTAAAACAAAAACTTCTTTTTACATGCCCAAAGCACTCTGGCCAGTGTCTCCTCAAATAACAAGCACTTGAGACGAACCATACGATATCACGCTGATCACTAGCCTTCAAAACCTTTTCATTATGATACACAGTTTAAATCGAGGTTTTGCTGTACACAACACTCAAAATATGCCAAAATCATAGTTATCTATCGCAAGAACCATCCACCCTTTCCCCTCAACTGCTACGTGTACGCCTAGCAAACATATCGAACGCACTCTCCTAAGCTCCAATTACTCCTAGTTACAATAGTAATCCTTGTTTATGTTGCAGTTGGGGCTAGTTTCTAATGTACACACCTGTATCGCTTGTTTTGTATGGCTAGTAAAAATAATTTTCCTGATGCATATCTCACTGAGCACCGCAGGTGCACATTTAATTCAGTGGTACAGTATTTATCATTGGCTTACTCTCAGATTGTAGTCTGACTATAAAAGGCTTATTGAAAATCCTCTGTCTCATTTTGAGCTGTATTGCTAAGTTGTAATAGTTCAACTGTCCTGAAGTTTTTTAATTCCCACCCTTACCTCCCTTTGACAGTTTTGTTGTTGTTATCAGTAAACATGGGCTCACCACTTTCTTTCCTCCTCTGTTTAAGTCTCCCGTGAACTTCCCCATGCTTTCATTTTAATGCAAACTTTTATATTTGATTGTATTCCTGCACGTGCTGGTGGAGTCGGCTCGTAGTACTGATAAGATAAAGTTCCTAGAACAGAATAATTACCTACACCATTCCATTTAATTGCACAATGCTGGCTTGAGGTTTCAGCTTGTAGTGCAGTATTTGTTTTGGACCTGCCTGAGCACAGATATGTAAAATAGGGTCGGGGAGATAAGTAAGGCTTTATGGTCACGCTATGGAAGTTGTCTGCTGTGTTGATGACGGAGCAGTGTTTCCCCCTTTACGCCAAATGTTTTTATTGTTGTCATGCTTTTATTAAACTTTAATTTAAAGCCTAGCTAAAGAACTATGACATTAAGGGGAAAAAGTGTTATTATTACACTCAAAAATGAAAACAACTACTTACATTGCTATTTTATTTCATTGCAGTAAAAGCAATATACCAAGATTTGCATCCTGAATATGTAAACTACTTGTATCTGATGTTGCCAATTTCTCTGGTAATCCTTAATCCCATTGGATTCATTCTCATGCAAATACAGAAGCAGAAGCAAAGTACAACAGAATCAAACAGCAAGCTAAAGATTGCTTTTACAGCATTCAAAGAAGTTGTCACTGATCCTATTGTTTTTATGACACTTATTGGTCTTGTTGGACATTTTATTTTTGATGGTCACCTACCACAGGTTCTTGATCAAATCCTTAATAGTCTTGGCCAGGCATTTTTGGCAACAGCCTTGTTTTATTTGGGAGTCAGGATGGTTGGAAACATGACAACTAAACTTGGTCGTGGGTTGCTGGTTCCGCTTTTGTTAATTTCTGCAAAATCGTAAGGATTGTAGGAAGTTTACAATGGTATTGTTATATAATTTTAGTCTTAAATCAGAGTTGTGAAATGAAATTAAGATATTTCCAACAGAAATACCACACACACAAGATAGGCATGCATAACAGCAGTGAATTGAACTTGTTAAGGTAATTCATCCACCCTCAAGCACCCTCCTCGCCTTGATCGGCGCTAGCGCTTTTGCTTTTAATAAATACCCCCATAAACCGTACATTTTCTTAAAGCATAATAGTTCCAGATTATTGCTAATTCCTTTTTAAAAATCAAAATATTAACGGGATTCAGAAATGAGAAGCTTTTTGTGAAAGTGGGTGTCACTGTAAATTTAAGTCCAGGGCAGCCATAAATAAATGGAAGAAGCCAATTAAGGGGGTATTCGCTTCTTAACACGTTTGACTAAAAAACCGTGTCTCAGATTTTTGTCAAGTGGGTTTGTTCTTTTGTTATAAGAAGTTGAGGTTCGCAACAGCAAATCAGTAGCACTACCTGTGAAAAAACTACTCTAACTCGAAAATGAAAAAAGAAATCAAAATTCGCAGACACAGTTTTTCAGAAAAACTATATGACGAGAAGTTGGCCAAATTTCAGCCAAATATGTTCACGGGATACCGACTTGGAGTTTAAAACGTACCCTCAACTTGTCCTGATTTTCATTTCGAGAAAACAGGGGAAAAAGATTTTTGGCGGCGTATTACCCATGACGAGATCATAACAGATTATAACACCAAAGCTGTCAATGTTGATGTGTACCAGAAAAGGGACAACAATAGTGACACAGCAGGAAAAGGTTACAAACAAAACCCGACAACAATTTATTTCAAAGGCTCTGCTCTGTTCGATCCTTCTGTTGTCGAGAAAGCATTTTAGTTGTTTGCAACGGGCAGTTTTCATTTTGAGCCAAGCCAACTTTTACTTGATACATTTTCTAAAAGTTCGACACTTCCCTGGAAAAATGGACAACAAACAGCTTCCTGGAGTTTTTCTTGAAGCTGCTATCCCGCTACAAGAGACTTTCAAAAAAGTCCTTCGTCCGATTTTTTTCATGAATTTGTTGCTCGCTTGGCCGCTTCGCGGCCTTAAAAGCTCGCTCCGCTCACTAAGAAACTCGTGAAACTCGATTTTGCAGTAGTTTCAATGGGTTTTTGAGAAGCTTTGTCATCTTTTAGCCATTTTTCTTTGTTGTAGTAGAAGCCCTTGTCGCTCTCTGCTAATTTCAAAGCCCACACTTTCCAAACGATTTTGTCGTCTTCTTTCGTTCTTGGAGTCGAGGACGAAAATGGACAAGCTCTTTTTTCGTCTTTGGAGGCATTCACTTCCAAAATCCAGGGAAGAACAGTGAGTACTATACTTGTAGACTACGATTTCTGTCAAATTGCGTGATTAGCTTGGTTCAACAGCGGCATGCATATCAAGTATGACAGGACTTGTCAACGATCTATTAAAATAATTAGCATAGAAAAAACTTTTGCGCTCCATAATTCTGCACAGAAAAAACATTTTTTTCCTGGAATTTTTTTTAAAAGAAAGCTCTTGATGAGCTCTACTTAATCATCTAAAAATTGAAAATTTCGAAAAATGATGATTTTTTACCCTGGATGATACCTTAAGTGAGCAAACCAATCACGGTCTATAATTATCTCAAAATTGCTACCAGAAGTGAAGTATCTGGTTATGCTGTGGCTGTGCTCTGAGAAAAGGTTGTAGGGCACCTAAAATATCCTGTAAACCAATCAAATTCAGGTTATCAGGCATGTGAGCCTTGTGTAAAAATAATCTAAATATTTCTTGTTGATCAAAGGCAAAACTAAGGCACTGTTTGCCATCACGCTTGGAGCATAGTCACAGTGCCTGATTATAAAAGTACTCACTTGGTACTAATTTGAACAATCTAATATTTCTTTATTAAGGAATACCACCTAATAGTCTTTAGCTACATTGTATTATTTTTTTCTTCAGAAAATAGGAACCTAATCAATAACCTAAATGGCTTAAATTTGTGCTAATTACTATTTATGTAAGAACCTGTTTAGGCTAACTTGGCAAAATGCAGGTTTCTACTCACGGGTTTTTAGTGTGTTTTCATAACATGTTATTTTTATTTTTTTCAAATGAAGGCTTTTCCTCCCTCTCATTGCACGGGAGATGATTCAAGTTCTTCATGTTGGCAGCAGCTCCAATGACACAAATTCCTGGAGTATGTTTGGTTTTTTGTATGGCACATTTCCTGCTGCACCATCCTCAGCCATATTTGCAGCTAAGTTTGGCTTTGAAGAGGAGCTGGTAAGTGTTATTTCTGTCATAAGTGACAAATTATTTGTAATTGATGTTTTATTTCGTATATTAATTTTTTGAGTAAGGAACTTTTTCAGTCTGCCTTTCAATCTGTGGTGTTAATCATCATTACGTGTGAAATTCAAGTGGGCAGAGTCTATAAAATTATTTAAATTACAGCTATAGCATAATTTTCATAATGATCTTATCTTGTTGTTTCAATCACTTGAGGACCAAGAGATGTCCTTCCAAGATTGACTTTATTGCTGTGATATGAATTTAATTAAATTTGATAGTACTAATTAATTTTTTCCTTTATTAACTCACCACAAACCCACTGGGAATGTGTTTTTTTAATCAAAGCTTTTTTCAGCTTAATTTGTATTCTTGGTGATATATACGTTTAAACTACTCAATTTCTTTGTACAATTGTTTCAATATAGTCTCAGTGAACTGTTGGCAGAACTGCTATTTTGATAATGAAACATGAACTATTTTATTATTTTTGTTCAATGTTACAGATAACAAGCACAATGGTGATGAGTACTTTCTTGTCAGCTCCACTCATGTTCATTTCTGCTCAGATGTCACTCTTACATTACAGTGCTAAAACTGCCATTGATTTTATACGAGTGTTGAAAGATGCCATGGTTGATGTCAGTGGTACCTCACTTCCTTTTGGAGTAAGTTATTCCTGTATTGCATACAGATTCCTTTTGGCTGCTGAAAGGAGATTCATAGTCCCTTAGTGTCTGTGCTCCCTCTGGCATTCACTATAATACGGTGCCACTTGAGGCCTTTTGGTTTGCATGATCTTGAAATGGTAGGATCAAGTCAAAAACAGTGTAAGCTGTTTAAAGGGACAACGCCAGCTGATGCACATGCACATTAGATACCACTTTACGTTGATTTGGATATCACAAAACAATGATGCAGGTGAAACTGAAAGTGAGAACACATGCTTTGGAATATGTGAGCAAATATTGTGGAGTTGAACTAAATTCAAGTCAAAATATATCGTGATTACAGACCTTAAATCTTATCAGAGCACTTATTTACTTATTATTTTATATACCAATGGTAATTCACGGATGGACTTGTCCAGGGAAAGCCAAACATTGACAAATACTTTCGAATTCAAAGAATCAAAATATATCCAAATATATATAACTTTTCTCCATTGATTTTCCATATAATAATGACTTGCTCTGCAATGTTATTGAGACTTTTCTCCTGTTATTTTGGTAAATGAAGGTAGTTTCTCCTGCCCGGTGCCTACACATTTCTCACTTCTTCTTTCAAGTTCCTTTGGATATTGTGTTTAACCAAATTCAATAAAATAATTTAATAGGATGAGTAGTTTGCTGAAAAAGAGGTTTTCAGTAAAAGAGTGAGGATCGAATGAAATTAAACTAGGCCAGGCAAGATTGAAGTGGATTTCTGAAAGTGTTTGATGCACACATTTGATTTTGGGTTGAGGTAAATACTTTTCAAACTAACAAAAGTAGTGTCCAAGTCAGTATGGTCCCATAGCTGGCTGTGTCCTTTTAATGGCAGTAATAAAAAAGAGTAAAATGTTGATAATATTACTTGCCCAAGTTTTTTTACAATACATTGGACCTCTTGGCTGTTGAAATAACATAATTATATATTTATCTTTTTTATTTGAACAGATATGGGTTTTTGTTGTCTTATTCCTTGGAAGGCGTTACAGGATTTACCCTCATAATTACACAATGTGCCTGATTGTGTTTCAGGTATGAAAGAGTCATTTATAATAAATAAATGTGAAGTTTTTAAATTTCATTATTTCAATGTCATTTTTAATCCAGTTGATGAAAACCTCTCTTCATGTTTTTCAACTCTGTGCCTTACAGTAGTTGTAGTTGACTTCTGTAATATTGTGCTTTTTTTTTATTAGATTCTAGCATGCGTCTCAACAATTCTTTCAAGGGTTCCTTGCAGTTCTCAGTACTGGCTGTTGTTTGTGACCATTTTGTTCTTTTATGGACTTTGGGGATCTCGTTGTTGGGCAGCCATGATTGCATTCTCCTTATGTGTTGTGCGATGTAAAGGTGCAAAGACTGTTGATAACCTCAGAGTATGGATTTGGCTCTTTGGCTCTGGGTAAGCTCCATGTTACAGATATAACGCTTGCATGTTCATAACTAAAGAATTACGAGAGAACCCATCTGTGAAGGTTACTATTTGTTAACTGAACTGTTATTTCTTTTGATCAGTGTTGTATAAGGAGGAACATTAGGGCAAACAAAGTTTTGAAGTATAATCTTTATTTGGTGGGGCGTGGTAGCTAGAAATTTTCCAGAGGGACAAACAGTTTTCCAAATCAACCCATGTCCTTCTTCTAAGTCTTTTTCACATGTGTGACTTGATTACATTTCCAATTTTTAATAGTATAATGAAGACTGTGTTCTTCTGGCAACATTTACAGCTCTGCAAGTGTCAAAATAATGCAAAAAAACCTCCAGCATTATGGATTTATATGGGAATTACATGCACCCTTTTCCAGCTATGCATTATTAGTAAAATCCAACTAGTGGTCTATTATCAATACTGCATTCTGATTGGTTGAGCTACTACTTGGCTATATGTTATAGCCCACTAGAAGCGAAAAGTGCGGGCTTTGAAAACCAAAACAATGGCGGCTGAATCTTGTTTTGCTAGCTCAAGTTGTTTTGTTTCAATATTTTTTGACCAACCCGTTGGATTTTACCAAAACAATTATTATTCCTCTCGCCCTCATGGCCTCTGAGTCAATAGCCCATTCGCGCTGGAGGAACAATTATTGTTAATTATTTTATCTTCTTTTAATTCCCTCCCTCCCAGGGTATCATCGTGCAGAGAAAGTACTGTCTGATAGCCGGGGACTAGTGTATTTTGATGTTGGGCTAGTGAATTCTGTTCTTAACTTGCCTGATGGGCAAGTGAAGTTTTTTGAGGAATTCAAATTATGTAAGAACTGTGTAATTAATCCTGCTCATCAAAACGTTTTTGGAGCTAGCTGAAAAGGAATTTTGGGCTACCGGCAATACATACTAGCTACAGCTTGCCCAAATGGCAAGCTGTAAAACTGACTTTCGTTGCACCCTGGGTACATGTATGTGTGTACTGGGTGTACAGGTAGCTACGCCCTTATTATGGCGTGATATTTTTGAACAAAAATTGAGTTACTAAACCCTACATTACTGACAAGAGTCTTTATCTAGGTTTACCACATCTTATGATAGTTATTGCCTCTCGGTGCTGGCTGAATTATAATTATGTAGTACTAAATTTTTCACTGTCAGGTGTCATTGTTAATCTTGTCTTTGTTTACTAAATTGACAGATTGCCTGCCCTTTCTTGTGGGATTGCTGTTGCACTACTACATTCTTCTTATACAAAATACAGGGAAACTCCTTTGTTCTTATTCAACATCTTAATGGAAGTAAGCATACAGTTTTTTATGGCTTCCCTCAGACTAGATTGAATTAGATGTCAACAACTTAAGTAAATGTTATGGATAATTAAAAGAGGTTGTATGTGAGGTGAGTTTTCGACAACTCAATGCTACAGTTTTGGTTGTCATTAGTTTTCAAAATGGGAAACTGCTTAATTAGTTGTTAACAAAAAAAGGAAATTTGGTCCAAGACAAATCATGGTTTGTACAATCTTGAAAAGTCCTTGAATTCGGTTGAGGTTCTTGAAAAGTCCTTGAAATTCACAATCTTGTCTACACCAGACACCTTTTGCTGTAAAATTAGATCATTTTGCCGAGGAACATTTGGCTCATCCCCGGTATAAGAACCTGTAAAACTCACAGGTAATATAAAAACATTTTTGTGCATGAACAATATTTTTGTTTCTTTATTTCAAATGCTATTTCTGTACCTTGGTGCAATTGCAAGTCATACCCAGACGTTTCGCGAAGAATTGTCGCGGAAAGTAGTATAAAGTAATGTGATCAAGGATGGCAGAAGAAGGACAAATCGTAAATGACTCCATTATGTATTTTAGCCAATAAATATAGGGTGATAAAAGTTGGTTAAAGACTGCCGATTTCTTAAATAAATCTTAGTCGACCCTTAAAAACTGTAAATTGTTCTTGAAAAATCCTTGGAAAGTCCTTGAAGCAAAATTTAGTCTCTCCTCTAAAACATAGATCCCGCATATTTGAACACTTTATTCTCTTGTTGGCCTCCTAAGTTTTTCCATTTATAATGCATGGTCTTATCTTGTGGGGGACTTGTTGCAATTCCAACATTATTATCTCAATGAACTGAGCGTCTCCACTGCAGGGCCTCCAGAATTACAGGGTGTCCCAAAAGTTACGTATAACTGTTAGAAATTTAAGTTAATATTTTTAGGTCTCAGATAAATACTTTGTTTTTAACTTTGTAATTTAGTATTTTTTGTATATATTTCATTAATGTATTCTAGTTAGTATGTAGTATACACAACCCCACAAGCTTTCTAGCTTTAACTTTTATCGTGTCAAAATAAAGGTTTTATGTTATGTTATGTTACGTTATGTTACACCTGCATAATTTATCCTGATATTTTCCATTTTCTGTCAGAAGACCTGATTTGTGAAGTAAGGCTTAAGCAGTTACTATCAGTGCTTGTTCTTATCAGTAGGTTTGTGTGGTTTGTTTTTAGATGCCAGCCATGGTAATTGCAGTGTCATTGCTGATTCTCTGTGCTGTAATCATAGTAGTTTCATTGGTATACCTTTACCGCCATGATCTGTATTGTAAGTGTTCACGGAAAACTCGGGCTCAGTGCGGTATTGTTCAGCAGGAGCCTGGTGAGGGAAGTCCATTACTATCAAGAAAGGAACTTGACAGGCAAGGATCACTTCGCACTTCGCTAGTGTTGTTTACACATTTTTCCACGTAGTTGTTGCTGTATATGTTTTCCTTGGTCAAACTTTTAAATTTACAATCAAAGAGTTTCAGATGTGAAAAAAATTTGTTAAGCGCGGTATCCAGTGCTCTGTTAAACTAGCTTCTGAATCAGATCATTAATTTATCTTGTAAAATTCCTTCCTGGTACGGTTATTCATTTAGGTTATGACTAACTTAATAGGTAGTATTTGAGTCATATTTAGAATTAACTTTTTGTAATAATTTTTTCATATATGGGCTTTACAAGGTCAGCAAAAGGCGAGCCATTGTAAACACCCATACAGATGTCCTTCTCATTTTTTTTAGTACATACTGTAGCTGTAGCAGGGATGAGATCTTATCCTGAACATAATATTGTTTGCAGGTGTTATCGGTGTTTGGAGATAGATAAATTAACCAGCAATCAGCGTGATACTTCTGCTTGTTGTCAGCCAAATGAATCTTCAAAATGTGAAGGTTGTGAGATTGATCAGCCTGCAATAGGAGTTGTAAACATTGAGGACATTGATGAGTCAACATGTCTCATAAAACGGAAGCAGTATCAATCCACAGATCCGGCAGAAAGTCCTACTAGTGGTAAGTAATCTATTTTCTCTTTACAGTCTTACTGTAGGATACCCGCCAGCAGAGGGTACATTTTCGCGGTATGAGCTACTTTTCGCATGCCAGCTCTACGGACCGTATATCACTTTTGCGATCCGTACGGTCCGTACGGATCGACAAACCGTATGTGACCTCTCTCCCCATGAAAATATTCTAAGTCCCACTAATGAGATGCAGTTTCGGACTGTATGCCATTTTTAAATCTTTACGGTCCGTACGGATCGTAACATGGGTAATACAGACCGTTACAGTGCGGGTGTATTGGACAACTCTCCTTACTGGCTTTGTTTAGTCTGGTCATGTCGGGGAACAACTTTTCTATGATCTCATAGACTGAGTTGGTCTATGGAATCATAATGGCTGTTTGTAAGTTTGAGATGCGTAGTTTGTTGATGCTAATGTTCTGTTTTATTGTTGTGTATTTGGTCTGGCAAAATGTGAATATTGTTATCATGACCCACTTAAAACGGTCAGCCATACAAGAATGGGCTTCTTCGTTATAGGAAATAAACGCGCGTGATAATTTTAAAAGGTACTTTAACTTAACAATATTAATTTTCTTCTTTTGCAGAAGTTGAGGCCATATTTGGAGGAAAAAGTGTGGAAATGGATCTTAAAGTAGACGAGTACTTAACAGGAGAGAAACACCAACTGGGCCGTCACGTGACTATGTTGGTTATAATGCTACTCACGATTATAGTTGTAAGTACATTAGCTGTTCAGCCTGCGAATACAGCTATCTCTCCTCGCTCCACTTTCCTCGCCCCTAGGGACGGCCCGCGGGAGAGATTTTGCAGAGATTTTACGTCATCAGTTTGGGATTTCTGTTGTTGAGGCGCAGGCTTCTTTCCCACCGGCGACACGTCAGGCTCGGTACATGTCCTTAGCGGCGAGGAGCGAGGACAGAGAATTTATTTGCAGGCTCGTAACTGTTCTGTGGGTATTTGAATGATTTATCACTGATAAACCTAAACCAGCTTAAGCTTATTTTGTCACTTATGAATTTCACATCAGATTTGGATTCATTGTAAAGAAAAATACAAAATGTATGGATATATACTAATAGAAAATACATAGGTCTAATAAAGTGTCTACTAAACCCAAGCATTTTCATAATAGCGGTTTAGAGCTGTCAGTCAATCGAAGGTGTGTCGATTTGTATGTGCTAATCAGTGATCGTTTTTTATTAGGGTGTGTTTCTTGCATTATGGTGTCTTCTTAAGGAAGACGACAAGTCAGGAATCTTCATTGCGTTGCAAATAGCTGACGCCTTCTGTGTATATGGACAGGTAAACTTTTTAATTATAGAGCGGTTTTCACTTGACTGTCGTAAAACCAAAACCAAAGTAAATACACTAGCCAACCAAAGGGCGTAGTAAAACCAAAACCAAAACCAATTCCTCAATTACTTTCGACAGTCAAGTGAAAACCGCTCTAATCATCCTGAATGTTGAAAGAGTGCGATCATTTCGCCACACTGCAGTTTAGTCGATTCGCTAAATTATAAACTTAGAATCGACGATATGAATATTCCAGCTCAATTTGGTCCCAGAGGATTTTCTTGAATTTTTTCTCGGCGTGAGAGAGAGAGAGCGAGCCGCGAAGCGGCGAGGAGAGAATGAGGATGGAAAATTCTGTTTGGGCAAGATGTAGGAAATCGTTTGGTGTAAGTGGCAACCTGAGCAGACAGAAAACTTGGCTAATGTCCCGCTTCTTGACCTCATCCTTGATTTGATCTCTTTAACGTATAGCTTTTATATCCTAAATGGTGCTAATTGAGTGGAGAGAGGAAAGGAAGAAGGTTGTATGGTATTTGTGACGTTTATTACGTGTTGTTTTCTAAGCGCAGCAGTTGAATATGAAGACTATTAATCATACACTGTGACTACTGTCTGTTTTTCTTTTTCTTTTTACAGGCTTTTGTTGTTTTTGCCTGCTTTGGTTTTGAGAAGCAACTCATCATCATTCCCTTCTTAACCAGGTAACATTCAGTGAATCTTGCAAAATTATTTCTTACTGGAAAAAGAGTAAAATGAAGTTGGTTATATAGCTATTTTCCGCTTGTGTTGTTCTTCTTGCAGAGAGATAACGGAAAAAGATCACTTTAAAAATGGCCACCCCGATAGGCCCTCCTCAGATGGAAGGAGGTGACGGGGCTAACTCCAAATACATCATAAACTAGTAGGAGTAGTGCCTGTCATGTATTGACGAACGCGGGACAATCTTCGACACTTCCCATCTGACCGAATGGTTTTTTTTTGTCAGGGATTTTTCATGCATCATCTTGTTTCATTTTGTGTTTGTTAGGTGGCGTAAATTTTGGTATGGTACTGAAGTCATCACTTTACCAAAAACTGCTGATCTTGATGTCGACGTTGTTACACTCTGCGATCAGTTTAAGCGCTACCACAAACAAAACTGTCAGCGGTCTGTTGTCAGTGACTTAAGGTATGTTTATACTTAATTCTTTAATAGTGCTCACTCCAGTGATCTTGATGCATTTTACCCAGTGTTTTCTTGCCAGTGAACATTGCAATTTAAACACTGCAGCAAGTCTTTGTGGGCCGCTGGAAAATTGTTATTCTTTTGTTTGTATAAATATCGTAAGATCTGGTAAGATCCTAAGTCAATAGGGACAACTTACAGTTGCTGTTGATGACTATTTGTTTGGCTTGAAAGGCCACACTTCTGATTTCGTTTTTGCAGTATAGTGAAACTGTTACAAGTAATAAACAATAAAGTATCCATTTTTTGATTAAACCAATGGTTCTAACTAAGTCTGCTGTACCAAGCGCACGGCTGTTAGGCCTGGGTTCGAAACTATATCCTAATCACATGGCGCGCATGCTCAACAAAGATCTTACACGATTCATGTAGAGTCTTTCTCGAGTACACCAAAAGAAAGGCTCTACTGGCAGTGTGGCATCATCTGCGCATCAAGACATGGTCATCTTGAGTAACCCACTTGGTTCGTAATGGCTAACCGTAAGCATTGGTTTGACTTGGTGCTTCGAGAACAAATATGAGCACTGTAATGTTAAATCGATTCGACTCACCATTCGCACAGTTTTGTTAAATGTTTGATGGTTTGGAGCAGCGTGCCTTTATTGTAGTAACACTAAGGAATCTGAGGTTTAACATATAAAGGTTTACTACTATCATGCGACATTTTTTTATTGACGACAAAATAACAACATTAATATACAGCGTGTAATAAAAAATACGTAAATAAATGAATAATTAACAAAACGTATCACAGCCTTTACATGAAGCTCACGCGAAGCTTATACACGCACAAAAAAGTGAATAAACAAATAAAAACATAACAATAAGAACAAAAAGTATTAGAGAATAAAAGCGTGCCAGTTGTCACACATTTAAAGTTATTTGCTTCAACTTTCAATGCGACATTGTTCCAAAAGCTTACGCAAGTATTTCTTTTGCAATAATACCAATAGACGAAGTCTGTTCATGGAAACTGGATTTGACATTTGCAATGTAAAGGAGTCTTCGAACGTGTTAAATAAATTTTGTTTGTTTGAAAGTTTAACGTTTTCCTTATGATAATCATTAAAGCACCCTAAATTTTTGGAAAATAATTCATTTGACTCTTCACAATGTATAAAGGTTTGTACAATTGAATCTGGATTGAAGCAGAAAGGACACTTGTCATCAGAGGCTAATTTATATTTCAGTAGTTCTTTCTTGATCGTAATTATTCTTCCCTTATCTTTCTTATGGCCTCGTTGCCTGGGGCCAGGCTGCCAAAGTTCATTTGGAGAAACTCCTTACATTACAAAAGAGAGCTGTGCGCCTAATTAACTTCGCACCTTTCCGCTCTCATGCCGTCCCTTACTTTCTTCACTCTAATATTATGCCTATTACAATGCTCTATTTTAAGCTTTCTTCGATGTTAATGTTTGATGTTTACAATAACACTGCCCCTCATAATATTTCACATCTCTTTATTCCTACTCAACAAATCCACTCTTACAGCACTCGCTCCTCCTCTTCTGGAAATTATTACATTAGCCACTCTAGACTAAATCAGAAAAATGATTCGTTTTCTATTATGGGAGCCAAAATTTGGAATAGTATACCTGAAAATTTACGAAATTCTTCAAGATCTCTCTTTAAGGAAAAAGTTCATACAATTCTGTTGAAAATATTTGAAGTTCAGGATAGATATGCTGACCTAAACACGATAATCTCCGATTTTAAAAAATATTAGCCCCCGCTTATCTAAATAGCTGCCTCGATTTTCTTATCTCAATTTCTCTCGTGACTGACCTTTTTTATTATAAATATGGTACTTTTTCACTTCAACTATTCGTAATAAATCTTAAGCCGTCTACACACCACCTGCCTCGATTAGCCTTGCTATTTGCAGGTGGTGTGATATTTGTATATTTAATGTAAGAAATAAAGATGTTGTTATTCTGTGCATAACTTTAAAAGAGAATTGTCTAAGGCCTAGGCCAAACTTGTGATGCCAAAAAAAATCCGGTAATAACGTGAACGCGTGAAAAAAGGAAAGATGAAAACAAACAAACAAACAAACAAAATATAGAAAACAAATCTTTAGTCAACATTTACGCACTGGTATAAGGTTATTCGATTTTATTACAAATCACGAAGCCATTTGATTTTGTTACAATTTAGCAAATGTCTAACATCCTTTTTCTTTTGTGAATTTGGAAAATGAACAATGTTTCTTTTATCTTTTCTTTTATTTAGATACCGACTGCGCAAGTACAAGTCTGTTTTTCGCGGTGATCGACTAGTGAACTGGTTACTAGAAGTTGGACTTGCCACTGACCGACAAGCTGCAGTACATTACGGGAATTGTTTGATCCTTGGACGTGTGATATGTCACGTGACCCAGGCTCATTTCTTTTATGATTCGCCGTACTTGTATCAGTTCTGTGAAAAAAGTAGTTCACGCCAAGATAAGGTGAAAATGGAGCGTCAAAACGATGAGAGCTGTCCATGACAAGCTAGCCCAGCGTAAACTCGTAGAAACGAGGGTTTGAAACCGGTACCTCGGCTATCACTTCGGTCGTTGAAAATGAATTGAAAAAAGTCCTGTTATCTGAACAATCGTGAAATTGTGATTTTAACTAGAATTAGCCTAGAACTAAAATCTGTCGAAGCAATGAAGAGTGCTGATTTCCTGAAAGAGTTTTTAGCATATATCGCTACTATCGCAGCGATCGCAGCTTTCAGGGCGATCATGTAAAAACCCGTGGGGGATGGGGGTCCTAAACGGAAATTTGGGCACGGGGTGGGTACGCCGTCGAGACTTAGATTTTGAAAAAGAAAAATATTGTTGATACCACACATGTAGTTCAAGGATTCCTTTCCAAAACGTCGAGAGAGACGTGAGACACCCTTTCCACAAGCGAAAAAATGGAATTGCTTACCCTGTTTAGGACTCAGGACCTCGAAAACCATAAGTACCCTTTTCGAACGGCACATACCTGTTCAGGCCAAATAAGGGACTCTCCCCTCTCCCTGAATGGAAACCAACCTTAATCCAATACGACTTAGCGTGTCGCTTGATTTTGCCACGAAATACTTCAACTTGTTTCTTTCTCGCACATTTAAAGATATCTGATACAGTTGCTACGAAAGCTGCAAGTTTTCTTCAGTAATATGTTCTGTTAATAACTTTGCTGACATTCTGGGTGGCTCCTACTAAAATATTCTACAATTGGTAGAGGATTTAATGTGGTCGAAACCAATTGTGGAATTGTACGTATTTTAGGAATCCCACTGATGAACGTTTACTACACTTAAAGTGAAGTTACACGAGAGGATTCGCAACGATGATTTTTAGCGCAACACAGCGTTGCTTTATTGTTGCGACATTGTTTCGAATAGTTATAACATTGTTTCCAATATTGCGACGCTGTATTGCGTTAAAAATCGTCGTTGCGAATCGTCCTGTGCGACATAACCTTTCGACTGATATTTGCAGGAGCAACATCGGGCAGTTTAGGTTTCTGGGGAGTTGCTGACCTTGCCCTTCACTAAGCGAACATTTTACCCTAAGTGAGAAGTAAGTATTGAGTTGGGGAAGGGGTAGGTGGGCAGTTTCCCAGAAACTTAAAATGATCCACAGTTACGTTTAGTGTTGTAAGAACATAGTGTGTATGACCACTGGTGAAAAACCACAGACAAATTAAGCCTGGTCGATCGATAGCACTGCAAAAGAAAAAAAAACAGTCCAGCGATCTGAACGTTTGATGCGATCATAGGAAAACCAGTCTTGAAATAGAAATGATGGAAGCTTTCGCAACAAAATTAAACGATCCAAGTGATTGTAGTATTGTAGCGATCATACGAGATATCTTTGGATGTGAGTCGAAGTAAAAAGTTGGAGGTATTTAAATCAAACCGACCACACATACATGAAATGGTAGTGTGTTAAGAGAACTGAGAATATATTATCACAGCAAAGAAAATGAACAGTTCAATTTGTGAATTTCTTTACAAAAATTATTGCCTTAAATTTATATTGAAGTTTATAAATTATTATAATTTATTTAAATGGTTTTTTAAAAGTCTTTCAATACAAAATTCAATAAAATAAATAAATAAATGGCTGTGTGTTAACCATCATATCCAGGGAAGTTTCGATAAACAATTTGCGACAATTCAGCTTTTTGTTCATGGCATTCCTTTCATTTGTGGGAAATGGACCGACAAATAGTGCTTTTTAGGACCTAGTTATAACTGAGTTTACTCCAAATCGTTGAACTAATTTATTTTTAGTGGCGTTGAAACGTTGTAAGCCCATGAAAGTAGTAATATATTTAAAATAATAGACAATTTTATTAAAAAACTTTTAAAATCCTATTTACAATTACTTCGCTTAAAAAAAAGAAAAAACTATTCATTCAAAAACACTATTTACAATTTCTGTCGATTTAAAAAGAACTCAATTTAGCTTAAAAAAAGTTAATTAAAACTAAGAAAAATTTTTTCGAATTAAAAAACATTTCATTTCAATAAAAAAAAACTGTCAACCTCTAAAATTCAAAGTTTCTTTCAACTGCTAAAAAAACAAAAAAAACAACAACAAAAAAATAGTAATAATAATAATGAAATAAAAAGTAGTAATATATACGTCTTTTTTGCTTAGCAGGGTACTTTTAATGTAGGAAATAATGTTTGAAGCTCCACGGCCCCGGATATGGACCAAGAAAACTGCGAGTCTAATAAAATTTATAGTGCCAGAAATTCAAAAATATTCTCCAAGGTTTAAATTAAGATTTTTCTGTGTCGTGGTAGCTTTGTTTCATCATAGAACTAACTTTTATTTTGCATGTAAATGTGTGTATGACATGCATAATTCATTATATTTACTTCTTTTATTTTCTCATGATTGTAAATTTTGTACGCAAATTCTAATAAAAACTGACAAAATAAAAACGCTGACAAGTTGTTTAGTATGCGGTTTTTCCCCTCTGTGGAACGAGGAATAAGCGGCAAAGGATTGTAAAGGCCTTAAAGGCAAGCATAGTTCTACAACTCAAATTTATTTTGATTGTTTTTCTATCGAGATAGACGAAGCGGCGACAGAATTGAACAAAAACATGACAAAACGGAAAGCTATTCTCATTCTCCATTCGGTTTTGGGAAAACGAATTGACCAATCACGGAACGAAAAATGACTAAGCCATATACAAGAAACATGCGACTCGTTCCGGATGGCCACAAGTTTTATTCAAGATAGCTTCTTGTCTACTGTATAAACTAAATTTAAAGGCTAAATGTTTTCAAGCTGAGCCTGTCCACAGACGTTACGTTTGTGTTTGAGGTCAAAACTTCCCAGCTCCCATCTGTGGAGCTTTGGTCGTTGTTTTAAACGGGAATCTGGACCCGATTATTACGCAATAAACAATATGGCGTAAAAGTTAGCACGCGCTGAACACGCGGTTTGGTTTGCTGGATGTTTGTCAAAGCTGAATTCATTTTACACCCATTTTGTGGCTCTTCCCGTGAAATTCTCTGCGGATATGAACCGAGCAGAGATGATTGTAACGTTGAGCAAATGGAAGTGGCCAGTGATGGGTGTTACAGCTGCCTTCGTGGGCTCCATGTACACATTTGGTTTCAACAGAAACCTCAAACTTCAAGCAAGCACTGGAAATGAAGATGCCTCCGGCTCTCTTGGATTACGAGACCTTTTGCAAAAACTTATCCACAGCTTTGTGCAGGGTCCCAAAGGCCAAGAGAAGCCTCCTTTAAGTCCGAAAGAGGCAAGCGAGATCTTGAGAAGGAATGAAAGAAGAACGGATGTGAATATTGGAGCGGTGTCTTACTATGAAAGTAACAATTTTGCTTCGAATAGTCCTTCTGAAGATCGGAACAATGAGTGGCTTTTTCTGAGAACAAACGGAGTGGCTTTCGGTGTGTTTGATGGACACGGTGGCTGGCAATGCGCTGAAGTGATAAAACACCGTTTACCCTTCTACATCGCCTTAACCCTCCTATCAAAAGTGGATTTGAACCTCTTGGAGCGGGATCATTTAAAATCTTTAACAGTTGACAACTTTGTGGCAAGTTTTCAGCAGAGCAAATCTCAAACGGGAGAAAGTAACTCCAAAGTGGGTTATACGTTAAGTCAGAAACAAGAAGTTTTTCACACTGGACCAAAATATCTGGTAAAGAATTTACTCGAGAAACCTTTTGAAGATAGAATGCCTATTGGTGAATCCCTCAGTTTGGCTTTTACGCAGTTAGATGATGACATCGCAACAGAAGCGATACCAGTGAGAGTTCTTGATGAATCTTTCGCCACTGGGGTCTCAGGTGCTTGTGCTATAGTGTCCTACGTTGAGGACCGTAATCTTTATGTTTCCAGTACAGGTAACGTAAAATATCATACTTGAGCTGACTCTGGGAGGCTTAACTTTAATATACAAAAATATACATGTAAGAAATCACTCGACAAACCGGTGAAAAACACTGTAAAGATCTTTAAAAATCAGATGTTTGTTTGTTCATGATGCAATGCAGTAGTTCAAAGGTTTTTTACTGAAAGGTCATTAATAATTTATGGTAATAACACAGCACGAAGTTTGATTGACCTCTATCACACTCTTAGCACCTGGACAGCCATGGTTGGATGACGATGAAATAAAAGTTTTTCTCAAGTTATGAATTTTATGAAAATCATATATGAGAACTGCGGGGTGAAGAATTATATGAAAGAAGATTATCGCAGTCGTAAAATGCAACTTTTGCAGTTGTGAAAAAAAAGCCTGAAAAAATTCAGGCTTGTACGGGATTCAAACCATTGACCTCTCTGATACCGGTGCAGCGCTCTAGCTACCAATTGAGCTAACAAGCCAACTGGGAGCAGGTCGTTAAATTGTTTGGTATTAAACCGGTGAAAGGCTGATGACAAAGTTGTGAATATTTAGCAATTATTGAATAAGGCTGAGTAGGATATGAAGAATTCTGCAGATCGAGGAGGGTGTTTTCCACTGAGGCCGAAGGCGGAGGTGGATAGCACCCTCTGAGATCTGCAGAATTCTTCATATCCTGCAATAGCCGAATTCAATAATTGCTTTATTATTCATTCAAAATAATTCCAACTTTAAAAACAAGCTAAAAACGATTACCTCGGTCGATGTTAAGTTCACATCGATAGTGCATCTTTTTCGGGAAATTTAGTAGATAAAGGTCTGCTCAGGTCTGCAAATATACTCCAAATAGCAGATGTTGTCCGTCGAGTTGACTTCTCGCTGTTCTTGCTATGTTTTTAGATAATATTTTGCCGTGAAACGAGTACAATGTCCTTCCGACAGTTCCGCCATTTTGTTCAAACAACCAAAACAACTCAACCTCGTCCCCAGGTTTCCTCTGTCAACGGTTCAATATGATGGTTCAATACGACAAATTATTGAACCAATGATGTCATTTTGACATCATCGGTTCAATATGACAGTTCAGCCACTGGTGATGGTGAATTATGCGTGTGGTTTTACCCAATCAGAAACGAGAAATATTTTAAATGAATAATAAATATAATTCTTCACCCCACAGTTGTCATATATGATTTTCATGTATTCATAACGTCATCATCATCCTTTCACAGGTTTAATATGAACCAATTCAACGACCAGCTCCCAGTTGGCTTGTTAGCTAGAATATTTGTAGAACGCTGCACAGTATCATAGAGGTCAAGAGTTTAAATCCCATACAAGTCTGACTTTTTTCAGGCTTTCTTTTCGCAACTACAAAAGTTGCCTTTATATCTGCGATGATTTTCTTTCAAATAAAAGTTTTTGTACAACTGATACAAATGCTGGGTGCCCCAAGTTTCATAGATTCCAGACAAATGCTCTTCAGGTACAGCCTTGCATGATGATTGTTGGTAACACGATACAGTGAAACCTCGATAGATAACGGGAGTGCATGGTATAATGAACAACATTTTTTGCACCAGCAATAGTAAAATATGAGGAAAAGAACCTTTTTGTAGTAAAGCCTTACTGTAGCAAATGTATTTTGCCAGTTCCTTGGCCCTTTGTTATATTGATGTTCTACTGTACCATGTTGTGAGTACCTAAATCTTTTGGGGTTGTTTCAGGTGATTGTAGAGCAGTCTTGGGAAGCTTAAAGGAAGATGGTTCTTGGGTGGCCACTCCACTATCAACTGATCAAACTGCCGCTAATCCAGAAGAAGTGACTAGACTTTATTCAGAACATCCTGGGGAGGAGGGTTTTGTCATCAAGAATGGTCGTCTGTTAGGACAGTTGCAGCCTTTGCGATCTTTTGGTGACATTCAATATAAATGGGATAAAGTAACACATTCCCATGTATTGACACAGGTATACGGTGGCCCAATAGTGCCACCAAGTATGTACAGATCACCACCTTATCTCACTGCAAAGCCTGTGGTTACTCGGCACCATCTACAACCCCATGACAAATTTCTAATACTTGCCACTGATGGCTTGTGGGACATGCTTAGCAGTGAACAAGCAGTTGGATTAGTGGCTGATTTACTCAAGCAAAAAAGTGAAAACAGATTATCCAAACCTGCTGATGATACTTCTCCAGGGCAGGGTGTACTGTTGGAACAAAATGCTGCTACTCATCTGATCCGACATGCCTTGGGTGGTAATGACCATAGCTTTGTGGCCCAAATGTTGTTGGTTCCAGAACAGTATCGACGTATGTGGCGAGATGACATCACTGTGACTGTAGTGTTTTTCAATTCAAACACCTTTTTGTCCAAGCTTTAAACAAATTTAAACTACTGTCCCAATGGTTATTACAGTTGAACCTGCAGCCAAATATGATTTTGTTTAAAAATGTGCATACAAATAAGATTAACCTCATTTCCATGTCAAAAGCTATAAATAACATCTACAGATCTAGAGGATACTACATTGCCGTGCAGAGATATGAAATTTCTCTTCAAGTGTTGAAAAATACGCAAACAAGTGAAATATTTTTCAACACAAGAAGAGAAATTTTGTATCTCCAAGCAGGCACATAATATTCTATTCATTATATTAACACCAATGAAATGCCAAACCATTTCACTTAAATATTTTTTTGCTGCAAAAGCTGTGATTTATCATGCAGCTATAGCAGTGGTGATCTTTTAAATAACTTGTTATTTTCACGTGTGAAGATATCATGTTTTTGTGTGAAAGCTCGCCTGGTATTTCATTGGCGTTTGTTAATTAAACCTTGTATTTTAGGATAATAGGGAGAGCGCATGATCTCAGGCTAATGCACCCCTTCAATAATTTGTTATTGAGGAGGAAAGCCAGAAGTCAACTATCAAAGCAAATAGAAATTAGGATTGAGCCTTCTTAGTCCTCAGTAAAAATCTGCTAGTATTCTGTTGCAGACAATTTTCTGGGCATCTTTATAAATTAGTGGCAAAAAAACTCTTTCGTGCTAGCTATACGTAACTATTAGCTGATAGATAGCAAGAAGGTCAGCCAATCAGAATGCAGGATTTGCATTAGACTACTAATAGAATTTGCTGGACAGGTGCACTGGAAAATCTTCTATAGTGACTAAGAAAATAAATAATTGCTGCGAGAATGAAAGTATAAGCTCTTTATTTTTCATACCACTGAAGGATGCATTTGCACTTTAGGCCAAATTACAGAATATGCTCTTAACAAATATGATTGATGGTATTAAACTCTGTTTCACAGCATGCATTACCCAGCTGAAGGGTTGGGAAATGTAAGGTTCTCTCTTTTAAGTACTAATAGCTGGAATAGCAATAAAATAGATAGGCATTTGGTTTGATTGCAGAGCAGCAAATTTTTAATCCAATGAAAGTTAGGAACTTAAAATCAGTCATCTTTATCCAAAGCTGCAAAAATTCCTAACCAGTTGTCCAAAGTAAGGAACTTTTCTAAGTAAGAGAGGAGTGGACTTTATGGGATATTGTTCATTTCAGTTATGTCAAGAAAAAATAAAATTCAATGGACCATGGATGAGAAATTTAGGTTCAGTATCAGCTGCATGTAGCACAATGACTTGGCCTGCCAAATCATTTGCTTAACAGTTTACAACATTTCAGGCATTTAATATAGATGATTAAGAATAGTCAGATAGAGTTTTTTTAGACTGTAATGTCAGAAAAAATGAACAGCACTTGAAGGACTCTTCTTTTAAAAAATTGTTTAGTTGCCTTGCAACACTGTAAACTCTTCCACATGCTTAATAAATTGTCTTGACACTACTGCAAAGCATATCCATTCCAAGAGCCATCAACTGCAGACTCTTCACCCTTTGCTATCTGGCTAATAATATTATGATTACTGTACCCAACACCAATGCATGTCCTGAAAGCCTCAATATTATATGCATGAATGATGCTGTTGAACAGTGTTTATTCTGTCATCATAAGGAACAGGTGATCCAAGTACACTGACTGTAATTTCTGGGCGGATTTATGAAACCCAAAGAGAACATACAAAATGTAGCACAGCAATGTTAAATTATTGTTCCCACAGTAAATCTATTCTCTGTGAAATCCTTGTCCAAAGCCACTTTAATTTAAAGCTCTCACATTGTAGAATCTTCAATGTATTTTCACCATCAAGTGGTTGACAATATTTCCATCATGATCGATTGGTGTTCAATGATTGCTGCTTTATAATACGCAATATTATAGCAGTAAACCAATGAATGCCAGGGAATGCATTTCAATTATGACGCAAGCCAACTTAAGTTAAGTAGTTGCTCAAGACACATCACCAGTACTTTCTTTGGAATTTGATTGCATCAGTGGCAGTGTGTTTTCATGGCTAGATGTGGAATTAGCCAGCACAAGCTGATGAGCACACCAGATTATTGTACGAGTGGCACGAGTGTGAAGAGTCAGTGCCTTCACACCTGATATTAAAGCTGACAACTCTGGCAAAAAAAGGATAAAATTGATCAGACCATACACTAAGTTAAGTCCATACTTGCATTGTTTCCTTAGGTGTTGAAGTGATTATTAGGTTGAAGCCCCTTTACACAGGGCATTTGTATGTTGCCCACTGTAAAATCCTAGTTAAAGGACTCCAATATCTACAGATATATTCCAGGTTGTCATAAGTGGCTGGCAGCTGGGTTTTTCAGCCGGCTATTGCAGTGAGTCAGCCAGGTACTCTAAGTTTGAAAATGAGTCAAATATTACAATAATATAGGAGGGCTTGTGGGATAATTGACCAGCTAGTTTCCAAAAGAGACTAGCCACTTAAAAACATTAATGACAGCCCTCTTTACTGATAAAATATAAGAAGTGTCGCTATCAGTTTTTTTTTTTGAGGCATTTGTTTTATTCTGCTTGTAAGGTGCCGAAGTGTAAGCCCACCATGAACCTGTTATGAGATTGTACAGTTGACTCTCTATTAATGGACACCTCTATAAGATGGACACTGCGGTAAAATGGACAGCTAGAGTTGATCCCTGCAGTCTTTACCTACTCCATTTATTTTGGCTCTCTATTAAGATGGACATCTTTCTAAAACAGACACTTGGTGAGCTGGTCTCAAAGGTGTCCGTCTAAGAGAAAGTTGACTGTATAAGCTCAGGGCTTCTAACCAAGATAATAATTATAATACAATTTGACAGTTTAAAGCACTGCTGTCAAATAACCAGGGTTCACACACATTTTTGGATCCAAAATTCAAGACTTTTTTTCCAGACTTTTTTCCAAAACAATAAAGTCTTTTTCCAGAATAGGTGATCAATACAGACCTTAAAAAATGCAGGAACAAAGTTTTTTCAAGATGCACTGCAAATGTAAGGGCAAGACTGAATAAGATCTGACCAAAACAAAAAAAATTTCACTTATAAGGCACATGTTATAGCTTTGGAAAAAGAAAAACTCAAGACTTTTTACCATTTTTCCAGACTTTATCTCCATTTTCCAGACTTTTTCCAGGTCTGGAAATAGTTGGGCAAATTTCAAGACTTTTTCAAGAATTTAAGACTCTGTACGAACCCTGAATAACTAACTGTAAGTTTTTTGTATGAAGCCTTCGTTGAATGTGTGTTAATGATTACCTGTAGTGTCCTGATGTCTAATACCAGAGTTTAGTCTGCTTCTTGAATTGTTACCACTTAAAAGCTCTTCCTTACGGCGATTCTGAACTTCACGTATTCCACTTTGCCACTGATCTACTCCCTCACTAATGCTAACGTGAAGTGGGGAGTGCCGAATGCGTTCTATACGTCCCACTAATGCCTCAACCTAATAATAACATAAAATGCCAAAAAAATATTCAAAGCAGCCTACTAAAGCAGATAGCCTAGGGACAAAGCTTTCTGCCTTTAATGTCACTGCTTGAAAAACAATAGCACATACCGCACTGCAAATAATTTGCGAGCCTGCTCACAAGAAGAAAGCAAATCCGCCTTAACAATCCTTATTCCCAATAACCGCTATCTTTGCATGTGCTTAGGGACTGATGGGATAAAAACAATGACTTTTGTCACAGTTTCTCAGGGGCCAAACAAGTGATTAAATCTGCCAATACAATAAATCACAGTCAAATTTCTTTATTCTAGACAACAGAAAATGAGGAACTTCTTATCTTAAAGATGATAATGGCAAATTATGGGTGGAAGTGATCCCTCTTATTTTTTTTTTTACATGCAGTAGTGACTGCAGATGTCCTGACAGTAAGCAATAATGATGCAAAACTTCTCAAAACTCGAACTATACATCTTGAAAAAGTAAAATCGTTGTATTGCTTAAGGAATAAACAAACTTAACAGTCATTACTTGTATTGGTAAATTTTATCACTTGTTTGCCCCCTGAAATACAAGATGACATTGCTTTTATCCCATCAGTCTTTGCATGCATGCAAAGATGATGGGTTTCATGGTCTATTTAATCATTTACTGAATTAATCATTAATTTATTGACTTAATACCAGTGTTAAGTGTGACCAATACTACTTTATTATAATTCATGACTCATTAACAACAGATTATATAAAGAAAATCCAGAGGTTTCACGGATGTTAAAAACTTTTAAATGTTAAAAGGAAGCACCTGCACACTGACAAGGCCAAAAATTTAACAATCACTGCAGTACCTTTCCAAGGAAAAATGGTAGACATGGTAGTTTACTGAAAGGACAGGGTGTTTCACAAATATGCTCCCTACAAAAAATTCTAATGATAATTAATCTGTAGAGAAGTTGGACTGGTACAGTTACCTTGGCGTGTTCCCGTAAGTGCTCTACGATAAGCTTGTCTACTCTGGATGGATTTGGAGGAGGTCTTACATTGGATGCATTTCCAGAGGAGAGCCTTCGACCTGACCAAAGGTGTGAAATTTCTGCCTCTGTCTGAAAACAATATGTAAGCCCAAGCTTATTCAATTGCTTATAACAAAGGTTATTGAAATATTTTTTAAGGGTTGTCATAGGTACATGTCACCAGCAGCCGGCTTTTTTAACCAGGAACTGCAGTATAACCAGCAGGCTACTTTAAGTTTCAAAAAAGGGTTAAACACAACTAACACAGGAGGATTTCTCAAATTAATAACAGCAGCGCTTTCCTTGAGAGACCAGCTAGGAAAAACCTTAATGACTGCCCTGTTTAACAACACTAAACATCTGTACAGCATGGAACATTCATTAAAACTGCACAAACCTTCATTCCATGGGATTCGAAATTATTTCAAAAGAAATTACAACTTGTAGCTTGATGTTTCATTGTAGAAATAACTCTCTGAAACTACATGTCAGTATGACACCTGTATAAAACCTTAGATGAAAATATGAAAATGAATAGCTGACTTGTATACCTCAAACCATTATCAGTTAGCTATCATGTATTTACAAGTCTCCAGTACCTTCTTTCTCTCTTTCTCTAAACATCTAAGCTGTTCATAACATTCTTCAAGCCTATAATGCAGTTCACTAGTGAGTGGACTCTTTGTACGCTGTAAAATGGCATGACCTGAATATCCATTGTCCCTTGCAAAAGCTTGACCATCCCTTACAAAATGGTTTGCAGAAGAGTGTTCTTGAGCAGACCCATTTTTGTACCATACCCCTCCGTTCAAGTCATGATTTAAACCAATATACTTAGGAGCTGAGTGACTATGAAGTGGTGGTGAGGAAGGAGACATGCTTGGTGAGCTGCAGTAATGATTACCAGCTGTAAATGTCAGGGACTGTGGACGTGTCTTTGGAGAAGCAACAAAATGTGTACGTCCAGGAGCTGAGCTTGGAGATGACTGAGAATGACGGGATGAGCCATTGCTTGAATAGTACCCTGATTCTGATGAATTACGTCCCTTACTTCCCATGGATGTATCTTTAATAGGCATAAACATAGAATGGGATGATGCATCTTGTGATCCAAAGTGTTGTCCAGTTGGGGATGGATAAGGCGAAAGCTCATCATTAAAGCCGTTCACTGTAGGTGATGCACTACCTGATGAATTAGTTAGAGAACTTGTAGGTACCAAAGGAGTTACAGGGAAAGAGGGACTGGTGCCAAGTGAAGAATTTGTCAGGCTGGAAGGGGGGGACATGTCAAGGGGTGACAGGGGAGGTGTGGTACGTGAATTGGCCTCAGCTGACCAGATTGTCTGTCCAGGGAAAGAGCCAAAGCTACCCGTGCCTGCACTTCCTCCACTATTTGTTGAAGCATTGCAAATTGAAACACAACCATTAGGTACAACTGAAAGAGGCCACGAATGAGATGTACCATCAACACTGCAAACAAAAATAAACAAAATAAAGTCACGAGGTACAGATACACAAATCTGTCACTGACTTTACCTAAGTTGGCATATTCATTGGCCTCTGTCAAAAGATTCTAATACCGTAAAGTTCTGAAAATAAGCCCCAGGGCTTATATTTTTCAAAGGAGCTTATATTTGGAGGGGCTTATCTATGGAGGGAATTTGAATTTCAAAATCAATTGGGCTAGCCTTAAAGGCCGATACACACAAGGGATTTTGGTCCCCGAGCATGCTCCAGGGGTACGCTCCGGGAGCACAGCTCCTCCGTGTGTACCAACGATTTCATGGGTATACTTCATCCTCGGGAGCAAAATTTTCACCCCGCAAAATGCTCCACGATATTTAACAGGTTAAATATTTGGGAGCAAGCTCCCGGGGCAAAATGCGAACTTGTTGAAAACGCTCCCTCGTGTGTACTGACATGTGCTAAATGAGCCTGGAGCATGCTCCGCGAGCAAAACCCCTCGTGTGCATCAGCCATTTTTGCTTTGTTTTACTGTGTACAAGCCCCCAGGGGGCTTATATTTGGAGGGGCGATTTAACAGAGGGTTTTTTGCGTCACGAGTTTGGGGGGCTTATATTTGGAGGGGCTTATTTTCGGAATTTTAAAATAACACTTTCCTACCAAGCTATCTTTTAATAATTAACCCTTTAAGCCCTAAAATACACATCCAAATTCTCCAAACTGATCGCCATACATTTTGTTAAAGAATGTGTTGAGAGAATTTGACCAAAGATCAAGGCACTATCT